TCTCTCATTCTCTCTCTCAAATAAATAAATAAAATCTTTAAAAAATAAATAAATAAAATTAAATAAAATAAAAATAAAATTAAAAAGCCAGGTATAGAACAATACATTTCTAATATAAATCAAGTGACTTGAAAATACAAATAACCTAATTATATGCAATAGAATTGACATGGATAAATACTACATAGAAATAAAATGGTTTTGGTTATGTAGATGTCATTTCATTACTCAGATCCCAACTAATCAAGTATTCTGAAATAGTTGGAATTATATTTTGCTGTACTTCACTTTCAAGAAGGAGCAAATGTAAAAACAAACTTACATAAAGTATTTGCTTTTTAAATCAGCTTAAGTGTATAGCCTATTGTCAACCATTAATCAAATTAAGCATGCAGCTGGTACCTACAACATTCAACACACTGTAGTTCATTGTGGGGATATAAAATAAGAAAAATATTACATCTGCCCATGTAAGCTGTAATACTGGGTGAGGGATGGAGTGATTGGGGCCATAAAGGAGTTTAGAGGAGAAAAGGAGTCACTACTAACTGATAAAATAATAATAACAAACTTTTGAGTTCTTACTATGTGCTAGGACCTGTTGTCAAGGTCCTACTCATACCATCTTGTTCAGACTTCCTAACAGTCACAGAAGGAAGGTAGGTACAATTATCCCCATTGTGTAGATGAGGAAATGGAATTACATGCCCGATTTCACACAGCCAGTGAGGGGATTTCATCCAACCCCATAGTCAGATTCTAAAGCTGCTGGGCTTAGCCATTCTCTCAGAGAGGCTTCCTGAAGAGCGTAGTATTTGAGACAGACCTTGAAAGGAGCTAGGATTTGGGCATGTAAAATCCAAAAGATTTTAAAGTAAAACGTTCAGTTTCTACATCTGTAAAATGGCGATAACGGTCATCCTTACTTCATAGGACTTTTGTGAGGGTAAAAAGAAGTTTTTGAAATAAAATGCTTAGGGTGTCTGGGTGGCTCAGTCGGTTAAGCGTCTCCCTTCGGCTCAGGTCATGATCCCAGAGTCCCGGAAACGAGTCCCACATCGGGCTCCCTGCTTAGTGAGGTGTCTGCTTCTCCCTCTGCCCTTTACCCTGCTTGTGCTCTCTCTCTCACTCTCTCTCTCTCAAATAAATTAAGAAAAATCTTTAAAAATTTAAAAAATAAAATGCTTAGAACAGTGCCTGGATATAGTAAGTTCTACATGGGCAGTAGCCATTATTAGTAGTAGTAGTCGGTAGTAATTGATGATGGGAAAGGGCATTCAGATATATCTTCTTTTTTTTAAAGATTTTATTTGAGAGAGAGTGAGCACAAGCGGGGGGAGGGGCAGAGAGAAAGGGAAAGAGACAAGGAGACTCCTTGCTGATGTGGAGCCCAACACGGGGCTCGATCCCAGGACCCTGAGATCATGACCTGCACCCAAATCAGATGCTTAACCGACTGAGCCACCCAGGTGCCCCACAAGTATATCTTCTTAAGTGGGGTAGACGGGAATGTCTGAGCCTGCTGAAATGCTCTATAAAAAAGAGAGTAAAAGGTAAGGAAACAATTATGGGAAAACACATCTCATGTTTCTTGATTGCCCCGAGTGGGTCTAGTCTGGGCAGTTATTCATATCGCCTTCCACAAATGTTGAGTTTACATATTTTCTGTCCTATTAGAGTCCATTTTGTCCCATTATGGATTTAGAATCTCAGTAGGCATGGAGAAAGGAATGGCTGGACTCCAACAGAGTGGGAGGCAGCTGTGGTACTAGCCGACATGTTGGCCATTTTGGTTCAATGGCAGGAAAAGCCATGCGAGGGGGCAGTTTGCAGGGCGCCAAGGAGGCCTGACACCTCCAGGAAGATCAAGACAATAGGGGCGGTCAGGCGCAAGTAAGTGGGCTTATATTTCTGTGTGTGTGTGTGTGTGTGTTCTAGTCTGAAAAGAGGGTGTCAACCACAGTAAAGGTAATAACCATCTATTCTAAGAATAAGTAATTCACAGGAATTAAACAAATCCTTTTCTAAATCTCCTCCAGTCTTCTCACTGGAGTATTTCCTGATTAAAATTTATGTATCATTTTTGTCTCCATATACATGACGTTTCACCAAGTAAGGCTTATTTCTGGGCTAATAAGAGGACAGGAAGCAGTCAGAAGAAAGAAAGGATAACTGAAGGAAAGAGAACCTCTGTGTTTACGGGAGTGTGCTGACCCTGTTCATAAGAGATTCAGTGCACTGGGTTGGCTCCACCTCAACTCTTCCTCTGCGTGGAGGGACCTGGAGACTCCAGCCCTGCAGCCTCACAGCAGGCAGAACAGCCTCCAGGGACTGAGACCCGGGCTCCCAGGAGTACCCCTCTTCCACTGAGCCTTCAGCTCAGCCCTGCACCTGCTCGGCTCCTCACTCACCCCCATTCGCAGCAGTGGCCTTTGCGGCTTATACATTTACCAAAAATGAATCTTCCAAGCCAAGCTGCCATGTTCATAAGAAATTAATGTTTCTAAAGTAAGGTAAGTGCATTTATTTCTGTCATCAAACTTTCAATATCATAATGGGATGTTTTTCCTTAAAACAGTATCGTGCTTACTATGGAGCATTTAAAACTGCCCATGAGAAAGATGCAACCTCTGAAGAAATGGAAGACCTCCAAGCCTTGCGTTTTCTATCTGTAATCTCCATTGTGGACCCTTGGATTTTCATAATTTTCAGAACACCAGTATTTCGGAAGGTTTTTCACAAGATTTTCATAAGGCCTCTTATGTACAGAAATTGGCCCAGCAATTCCTGCCGAACTAACATGGAGTCCAGTCTGTGACACTGTTTTACCACCCAGTCTCTGGTAAGCTGAGGAATATGTTACATTTTCTGTCAAAGAACCATGTTAAAAAAAAAAAAAAACTTACATTTTAAAAGTTATCTCCTATAACAAAACATCTAAATGTATTTTCAAAACTATTTGATAACATCTTTAACAATGTGCAGTCACTCTATACTCATGAGCCAGTTCGGTAGATGTTTTCATTTCGAGTTGTTAACAGCAACTACAATTTCACATATTGTAACCAATGTTAAAAGTCTTAAAGCGATGATATGATGATATTAATTGTTCCAACGTTTGTGCTTGGTGTCCCTAATTTGTTAGAGAGGTCTAGAGACCTCTGGTGTCCCTAATTTTTTGACAGGTCTAGAGACCTCTAGGTCTTTATTCAAAACTAACAGAAACACCACTGTTTACAATTATGTGATGTGTGTTCTTAAAATTTCTTACCCTATTCATTTCTAGTGAAACCTGATTTGTTGACTCTGTATCGTAATAGCCTGAATTATAGATGCTCCACAGAGAAATGAGATGGGGAGTACAGCCAGGTCAGGGTTTGGGGAGACCTTCCCCAGCCGCCCTCTGGAGGCTCATGTGGGGAGGTGATCTATAAATAAGTAGACACAGACAAGGTGTGACTATGGTCCACAACCCAGAGAAGAAAAATTAGTTTTTATCTTTTGGAGTCTAGTTTCTTGTGTGTTAAGGTATCAAAATTTGGGAGTGGGTTGCAAAATGTTTCAATTTTTGGAAACTTCGTTTTATAGGTTTATCATATTGATGGATTCTTTGCGGGAGGGATTTATGCTTCTTTGAAAAACAGGGATGTATGACTTACCAGAGAGTCATGTTTACTGCATTTGGCTATGTGAAGCAGCAGGGCATTCAGCACAGAGCAAAGCCCACCCAGGACTCAGCCAACCTCAATTGAGGATGATAGCAACAACCTTAACATCTACCTATTAACAGTCATATTCTGCTCTTTGTGGAAACCGTAAGATCATGTTGAGGTTCCTGAGAACTATGCTTTCAAAACTAGAGAAGATGTGGCTCAGATGGAGCACAAGTGAGCACTTTAATTGTACATTTAAATGTTTACAAAGGTTAGCAACACTATGGCCAAAAGGGAGAAGTGGGGAAAATACAGCTGCAGCTAATAAACCAAACAAGAAACTGTAAGCCCAGTTCGTAAGTAAGAACTTTCACCTTTGGTAAAAGAACACATGGGGCATGTTAGAGAGGTTTCAGCCCCTCTGGGGTCCCTTTGTACCCCAACACACTCAGACTCTGAGCTGGCCTCCTCATCAATCAAAGGTAGATCAAATAGACAAAAAGACATTTGTTTAAATACATATTTCTGGTTCCACATAACTCAAAACTTGGATTCCTATTCAGTAGGGAGAGTATATTTAGGATGGTCTGTTTTTAAGCATAAGCTATGATAAAGACTTACAGATCACTTTTGGGGTCTCAAAGGCACCACAAGAAAATCATGCATTGGTTCTTCAGAGCAGCTCAAACAAACAGGTTCAATAAGAAGCTTGTGTCACTGAGGAAGATCCATCCCATATGTAAAACTGTGGTGGGCAGAGAAAATGAATAGTGTTTCAAACAGGAGCCCCAAAATCAAAGTCCCAAGGAACAGAATCTCTGGCTCTTAGATGTTTGTGATCTAGCTGCTTTGTTCATGCGAAATTCTGTATACTGTGATCTAGGATGAATATCAGTCAGGATTTTGTTTAATGATGGTTAGCAATTCTCCAAGCAACAATGGACAAGCCAGCTGGTGATTTATATCACTGCCAATGGTCCCCTCTTGGTGTTCATGCTCTGGTGTAATCCTTTCCTCTCAAGTGTGAGCTGGACCTAGAAACTTCTTCTAATGAATAGAAAACAGCAAAAAAGATCTGGGATGTAAACATCTGGGTTAGATAGACAAAAGAGACTGGCTTCTGCCTTGCTTGCTTGCTCTAATGGAAACCAGCTGCCATGCTCTGAGAGGCTCACAAGGCAAAAAACTGAGGAAGGTTGCTCAGCCAACAGCCAGCAAGGAGCTGACGCCCTCAGTGCGATTAGCCCACAAGGAAGTGAATCCTGCAACCACGTGAGCATTCTTGGAAGTGGAGCCTTTGGAGTCCCAGCCTTGCGGGAGCTGTGGTCCCAGCCAACACCTTGATTGCAATCTTGTGAGAGACCCAGAGGACCCAGCTATGCCGTGCCCTGACTCCTGACACACAGAAACCGTGAGAGAAAGTGGTTTTTTTTTTTTTAAGCTGCTAAATTTGGGGGTAATTTTTTGAGCAGTCATAGATGACTAATACAATCATTATACCAATGACATAAAAATCCATAGCACAGGGGTGCCTGGAGGGCTCAGTCAGTAGAGCATGTGACTCTTGATCTCGGGGTTGTGAATTTGAGTCCCATGTTGGGTATAGAGATTACTTAAAAATAAAATCTTAAAAAAATCCATAGCATATTTTATTGATAAATGTGATACATGAAATAGTTTACAAGCCTTGATATATTAGGCTACAAGGAAGATCTCAACAAATGTAAGAAAGCACAAATTAAACAGTTCATCTTCTCTGATACGTTATTTAACTCGCAACAAAAAATCTCTTTAATTACTTATAAATTTTTCTTCTTTTTGCATATATCATACATGCTAAATGGTGCATAAACATGCACATACAGTTTTTTTTTTTAAAGATTTTATTTATTTATTTGACAGAGAGAGACACAGCGAGAGAGGGAACACAAGCAGGGGGAGTGGGAGTGGGAGAAGCAGGCTTCCTGGTGAGCAGGGAGCCCGATGCGGGGCTCAATTCCAGGACCCTGGAATCATGACCTGAGCTGAAGGCAGACGCTTAACGACTGAGCCACCCAGGCACCCCACGCACATACAATTTAAGTAATAATTATAAAGTGAATATCCACAGAGACACCATGCAGGTCAAGAAATAGAACATTGCCAGTACCAGAAGCCCCCTGTGTACCTTCCCTGATCACAGCTCCAGAGGTGAACACTATTCTGACTTCCTTTATTTTACCACTTATGTGTATATCATAATATATATACCCTTTTGTGTCTTTCTCTCTAGCTTAGCTATATGTCTCAGGTCAGATTCCTCACATGCAAAGGTGAAGACAGGGATTCAGGTGTATATAATTCGTGGAGCTCGAGATCTCAGGAGAAAGGGGGCAAAGGAAGCAGGACAGGGATAGGAGCTAAGCAAGGATGAGGTCTCTGCTTCAGCTTGAACCCCAGCGGAGCCCTGGAGCATGGAAAGTACCACAATGTTGGTCCCACTGAGATACTTGTGACAGCATGTCATAAAAAGTCTTCGGCCAGTGTGTACCAGGAGTACCCTTTTGGCCAAGGACAATTGTCCAGATCAGGGGCCTGCTGCAAGCCATTAGCAACCAATACAGGAGCTGAGGGGTGGAGCACTGGCCAGGGCTCCCCAAAGGGGATCTGGGCAGCATCCACGATATAGTCTGTTTGAGACTCAGCCTTGCTGTATGAGTAGCTGCAGTTCATACATTTTCATTGACAAATAGCATTCTGTTGTATGACTATATCGTATGCTGTCAGTCAACATTTAGGTTGTTTCCGGATTTACCTATTACAAATCATGCTGCTTTGACTATTCTTACCATGCATTGGGTTGGACATACTATGTCGGCATATACCTAGGAGTGGAATGGCAGTGTTACAGGGTATGTGCACGTTTGATTTTACTGTATTATAAAAATTGTTTTCCAGTTCACACCACACAGCAGCCTCATTTAGGTAGCTCCCAATGCTCTACTTGTATTTTTGGACTTGATAGGTGTTAGCCATTCTGGCAAGTTTGTAATGGCATCTCATTAAGGATTTAATGTGTTTTCCTTCTTGATAATAATGACATTGCACACATTTTCATACCTTTATTGGCTCTTGGAAGTTCTCTTTTTATAAAGTTTTTGTTCAGGTCTTTTGCCTAGATTTTTCATAAAATGTCTGTCTTCTCTTATTGACTTGAAGATGTCTGACCTGCTGATACTTTGTCAGTTCTATGTGTTTCAAAAATCGTCTTCCATTCTGTAATCCCTCTTTTCAGTCTCTTTATGGTGACTTTTAATGAATAGAAGTTTTCATTTTATTCAAATCTAGTTTATTAAGCTTTTATTTCATGATTAACCTTTTTTGTCTTATTTGAGAATTTTTTTTCCTAGCCTGAAACCTGAAATCATGAAATATTTTGTATATTATTCTATAAAAGCTTTATAGTTTTATCTTTTACTTTTGTTTTTGTTTTTTTTTTTTTTAGAGGAGGGGAAGGGGCAGAGGGAGAGGTAGAGAGAGAATCTTAAGCACGGCTCCACGCCCAGCACAGAGCCCTATGCGGGGCTCGATCTCACAACCCTGAGATCAGAACCTGAGCCAAAATCCAGAGTCAGACACTTAACCAACTGAGCCACCCAGGCGCCCTTTAACTTTTAGGTTTTAATCCGACTATAATTTATTTTGCATATGGTATTATGTAGATAACTAATTTTGTATTTTTACCATATAAATAACCAGTTGTCTCCAACCGAGCTTTTTACTGGAAAGTTTTTCTTTCCCCATTGATATTAAATGTCATATCTTGGTCACATAGCAAGTTTCTAGATATCTCTCTGTACTATAAGATAACTGTACTAAGATAACTGGCCTGTTATCTTAGTTACTATAGTTTTATAATACCTGATACATTCAGTCCTCCCATCTGGTTCTTTTTGAAGCAGGCCCTACTTTGTGTTTCCATATAAATTTTTAAATAACCTTGCCAAGTTCCACCAAAACCAACCAAACAACAACAACAACAACAACAAAACCTGCTGGTTTTTTTATTATTATTATTATTGAGATTAGGCTGGATCTATTGATTAATTTGGTTTACCTCCCAATTTATTTTGGTCTTCTTCAGTATCTCTTTTTAAGGTTTTAGCTTTTGTTAAAGTATAATACA